CCAAAGCAGCTGCATGCTCTGAGGGATGCTGGCACAGGGACCAGTGTCACTCCAGTGCCTGCGTGCCCTCGAGCTGCAGGGCATCTCTCCAGAGCTCAGGGGGTGTCCTAGATCACGGCTTTCGACCTGCCTCCACTGGAGCCCTTCCTCTGAGCAAGGGTTTTGCTGTCACCCCCAGGCAGAGGACGCTGGGCTCGTCCAACAGGCCTTGATGGGCATCCTTCTGCCTGGACACCTTGGAAGCACCCAAAGGGGCTCAGGAAAGTGTCTCCCACTCCTTGTGTCCCGTAGCAGCCAACGCCATGCCACAGGCAGCTGCGGCAGCCAAATTCGCAGAGGGCAAGGATGACAGCTGGCAGGGTAGCATGCCCCTGTAAGGCAGGCAGAGGTCCCATACCTTCTCACGGGCATTTGCTTGCTGTGCCAAGCCCAGCTCTTCTCCAGTGCAGCTGTGGTCATGTGCCAGGAGGGGACATGCACCTTGCCCAGTGCTCGCAACTGCATCACCCACTTATTAGCTGGACCTTTCCCTGGTGGAGGCTCGGGCTGTCCTACCAGCACCTCTCCCTGCTCCCACCTCAGGTGCTCTGGGCTGCAGCCTCTGAAGCGGGCGCCTGGCCTGATGCGGTCTGGCTGACGGTCAGGCATGGAGGTTGGCACTGGCTGGGCAAGCGGCAGAGGGCATGTGCAGAACCACCCTTCCTGTGCCCCTGTTTGTGCTGTCTCACTGTTATCCTGCCAAACCACCTCCACTCTGCCTTCGCTCTTCACCTCCCCTGCAGCCTCTGCAGGCAGGCTGCCTGGCAGCATCCCTTGCCCCCCAGCTGGGGTCTGGATCCGGCCGAGCTGTGCACTGGGCTGGTGTGGGCTGTGCCGTGTCTCTCTCTCAAGGCCTCCTGCCTGGGACCGAGCATTATCTGTGATGCTTTGGGAGCTGCTCCATCCTCCTTGGCATCAGTTAGAGCAGAGAATGTTCCCTGAAAAGGAAACAGCATGAATCAGCTCCAAGTTTTCACACTCTCTACAGACAGAGAGGAGAGGGGAGTGGGCTGTGCTGGGCAGGGCACAGGCATTGCGCACCAGGGGCTGCGAGTGCCTCTGATAGAGGCGCCTGCAGCTTCTTCCACTTCTCTCCCCCATCCCCACCACTTTTAAACCAGCTCTCCCTGCCACAGAAACATCTCTTGTTCAAGCACTGCAAAAACACTCTTTGTACTTTGAATAGGACTCTTGAACGCAAGGCAACGTGCCAGGCGCTGACAGCCGAGGCAGGGAGGGAACAGCTAGCCCCAGCAGCACAGAGTGGGAGCGGAGGCAGCAAACCCCGCTCTGCCCTTGGGGACCAGCCCCTGCGCAGTCCCAGGTGAGTGCTGCCAGGCCCCTGCCTGCAGCTGGGGCTCCCCTTGCCTGCACCCTGGCCCTGCATGTGGTCGCTAGAGTTTGGGCACGCATGTGTGGCAAGTCCCTGCCTGCCACACGTGGGTGTCTGTCCTCCACTGCTAGCCTGCTCCTGGCTTGCAGCTCTTTATGGTTTCATGGTTTTGGAGTGTCACCCATGCCTTGCTTGTAAATGCAGATGGCTTGAGTGTCCCTGGGGATGTGCTGTGGGGTGCCCCCAGCACAGGGGAGGGAGCATGGGCACTGAGCTGGATTGGGCACCGGAGCACTGGTCCCGGGGCTGCCCTTGCCACAGCCAGTCCCTAATCCCCTGCCACCCCCTGCAGAGTGTTATGCTGAGATGGCGAGTGCCCGCAGGGCAGAGCCCGATGCCGAGGACGCAGCCGAGACCGAAGAGGCCATCTACGAGGAGGTGATGCCCTGTGACAGGATGGAGCTGAGCCAGCGGCTGGCCGTGGAGGAGCTCATCACCACTGAGGCCAGCTACGTCCACAACATCCAGCTCTGCGTGTCAGACATCCGGGCACACCTCCAGAAGAAGCAGGTGAGAGGGGGTACCTCCCCCCACCCAGGGGCTGGGGACCGTAGGGTGAATCTGTTGAGAGCTGCGAGATGCCCAAATCACTGCAAGGAGGTCACCACGTGCTCACCCTCCACCTTCCTGGGCTCCCCCCAATCAGCCAAGGTCTTGGGTTGGATGGATATTGGATCTGACCCAGTACAGCTGTCCTATAGCTTTAACCCTGCATCTGTAACGTGAAAAGGCCTCATTGCCCCGTGTGGGACCACAACCATGTCTCAGCATCCCCAATGCCTCCTGAAACAGAGCATTTGCTCCAGCTGCTCAGGTGTCGCGTGGGGCAGCTAGAAGGACATGAGTGCTCAGGAGGGTGAGTGCCTCCAGAACACACGGTCCACCTCTGTCTGATGTATTTGGCTTACCCTGGGGCATCTTTGTTCCCTTCAGCTGCCTGATCTTGACCTGGAAGGACTCTTCTCTAACACTGACGACATCCTCCGTGTCTCCAGACGGTTCCTGAAGGGTCTTGAGGCCACGGCTACCCAGCGGCATGAACAGCTGCTCTGCATCAGTAAGTGGTGGAGCGCCGAGAGCTGACCCATGTCCACCCATGCCTTTGCTGGTGCTGGCAGTACCGCTGCCCGGCGCTGTGTCTGGGTACAGCCCCCAACCCACTTGCCCTGACACCTCCTGCACCTCAGTTCTGGGAAGCGCTGCTGCCTGCACCCTGCCATCCACAGGCAGCCACCCATGCTCGCCCCACAGGGGCAAGGCAGACCTGCCCAGCCTGCAGAAAGTGAGGGGGGGGCAGCATCAGGCCCAGCTTAGTGGAGGTGCCCGGGGTGCAGAGCACTGCCCTGGCATGTTTGGCTGGCACTGCTCTGCCTGCTTCACCCTTCCAGCAGGCTGGGGAGAAACCTCCGCCTTTCTCTGAGGCCATAGGAAAGGGCCAGCCTTTCTAGCCTCGCTCTCCTTCCCCAGGCACCCTGTTCCAGGAGTTCAAGGAGGAGATGGAGACTGTCTACAAGATCTACTGTGCCAGCTACGAGCATGCTCTCCTGCTGGTGGAGAGCTACCGCAAGGACCCCAGGCTGCAGGAGGAGATCTTGGAGACCCTGAATGCAACAGTGTAGGTACCTGCTGCTGAGGCCACCACCTCCCTCTCCCTGTTTTACCTACTAGCCTTGCCCTTCTCTTCTCTGGACAAGCTGCCTGCGTGGGTACCTTTGCGGCATTGCCTGGTGTAGTCCCTGGCAGCCTGTCCTGCATCCTTGGGGCCACTTGCCAGAGGGACATTACAGGTTGGTGGTCTTTTATGGTGGACCCCAAAACAAGCAGCAGGATGGGGTAGCACCCATAGGTCCTGCCTGCTCCACAGCCCCAGAGGCTGTGCCCACGGAGGGCACATGTTCCCCAACTTGACCAGAGAGACAGGCTGGCCCCGGGGAACCTGCCGAACCCCTCCTGAACTATCAGAGGGGTCACAAACACTGTCAGAGCCAGGAGAAGCAGGAGTGGCAGCAGAGGAGCTGCTGGGATTTGCTGCTCTCTCTTTCAGGGCACAGGCGATGTGACTCCCAAATGAGTGATGCCTTGTGTGCGGGTAGAAGGGGTGTCCTGCCTGCAGCCTGCCTACACTTTGTCCACACCCTGCCCCCCCCATTGCCCCCGGAGCAAGCGCTGATCCCGTGCCTCCTAGCTAGACAAGCGCAGCACTGTTCAGGGAGGCAGGGCACCTGCCCGGGGCTGGCACTGCCTTCGGGGCTGATGGAGATGGCGTCCCCCTGCCAGCGCTCCCAGGGGGTGGCCCTGCAGCTGGTGGGGAGCAGGGATTCACAGCCAGAAACCCCCCACGGCTGCTGGGCACAGCTTGCCTGCAGGTCCAAAGCAGCAAAGCTCCCCTGCAGCTGGAGAGGCGCTGCTTTCTCCCCAAAGTGCTTGCAGAGAAGCTGGGGGGACTGGCAGGGCAGGAGGGCAGCCTGCAACCTTGAGTGAATCCCCTCTCCATCAGGCCTCACACAGGTGCGTCGGACCTCAGCTTCTTCCTGGTGATTCCAGTGCAGAGGGTCACCAAATACCCACTGCTGCTGGCAAAGATCCTGGAGAACACCCCCACCAGCGCCAGCGCCTACCCGGCCCTGCAGGCAGCCGTCCGCGCCATGGCCCAGGTCAACGCCAACATCAACGAGTACAAACGGCGCAGAGAAGTAGGTGAGCGGGCAGGGGGCACGGCACAGGCAGGGGGCATGGTGTCTGGGAAGCCCCATCCCAACCCCAGCATCTCCCCTTGGTGTTGCACTAATTCCCACTTAAATCAGTTCAAAGCTCTCCTGCCCTCCACCCTTCCTGACTTGTGCAGGCAGCTCCCAGCACTGCTCTGGTCCTTCAAATGCCACTCTGGGCAAGACCTGAAGGCTGCAGGAGCAGGGTGGCATGGCGCAGCTGAGAACAAAACTAGCCTGTCTGCATTCCTGGAGCTGGGGAATGGGGAGGAACAGGCCTGCCCTTGGGATAGGAGAAATCAGGCTCTCCACAAACGGGAGCTTGCTCTTCTTTTTGGTTTTCATAGTACTTTCCCCCGGGCTGCCCTTCTTTGATGTGGGTTGTGCTTACCCTGTTGATCATGACTTGTCAGCTCCGGGCCTTGGTGCTGCTCACCCACGTTGCCCACTCAGGCTGCTGAGGATGCTGCCCTGAAGTTTCCTCTTCTGATCTTGTTTCCTCCCACCTTGTGTGCCCCTATCTGAGGCAGCAACCAAATACAACAAGGCTGAGCACCTGACGCTGCGGGACCGCTTCGCGCGCCTCAACACGCACTCCATTGCCAAGAAGACCACGCGGCTAAGCCGGCTCTTCATGCACGAGGCCGGCATTGTGGCCAAGGTGGGCAGCCCGCACCCCACGGCCTGTGGACGCACTGCCTCTCCTTGGGTCGTTTCTGGGGCTTTCCACTGCCTCCCACAACACGTTGCCAGGCAGACGGGGAGAGTGGAGCCAAGGTGGCATGGCCAATGCTGACACCCAGTGGCCTGTGCTTTCACATGAGCTACAGTCCCATTTTCAAGCAGCCTAAGGGTGGCTCCTGGTCCCCAGTCCCAAGGACCAGTGGGGTAGGAGGGATGCAGGTACACACCTCGCTCCCAGCCTCAGAGCACTGCAGGGCAGTGCTTTGGCCCCCATAGGATCCTCAGGCACCCTAGCGAAAGGAAAGACACCATGGTGTTCCCCAGCACCACAACCACTCCAAAAGCCCTGTTTCTGCATGCATCCAAAGCACCCTAGATCTTGGCCCTTTTGAGGTTCCTGGAGCCTCTCAGGGTCTCCCTTGCCTGTCCCCAGCACTGTAAGCTAATTCAGGCAGGTGCCTGGCTGCTTTTTACATTAGCACCCAGTGAGGGGCATCAGCCCTGCCTGAGGCATTGCCTGGCCTGCCTGTGCTGGGGATAAGCTGCCCCTTGCCTTGCAGACGGAGGACAGGGAGTATGACGACCTGGAAGAGAAGTTCCAGTGCGTGGTGTCCAGCGTGGCTGTGCTGAAGGAGAACGTGGCATCCTACCTGGACCATTTAGAGGTAAAACCCTGATAAATTGCAAGGGGTTGGCCCCATCTAGGCCTCAGGACCTGTTTCTTGGGGTTACAGAATACTTTCAATCCCTATGGAAACCAGCATCAGTTGGGGATGTTCAGTGACTTGCATCTCTCAGCTAAAGATGTTGTGCCAAGGGCTTGCACAACATCCAAGGATCGCTCAGGTCCAGCAGAGCTTAAAACAAAGTCAAGGCTTTGTTGACACAGTCTGATAACCGATCATTATCTCAAGGCATTAAATAGCTGAGAAGGCTAAGTGTTGTTCAGCCTGGGAATTCTTGCATAACAGGTATAAGGCAGAAGTGTTCCCAAATCAGGGAAACAACAAACTTCCCTTCTGAGATGACCTGTCTGAGTAGCTGCTGTGATTTTCTCATGGAAATCCCTTGGGGCATCTGAGGGAAATGAAAGTATGAGCAATGGCAAAACTTGAAATCCCCAGACACTGCATTATCAGGAAAGTCTCAGGAAATGGCAGAGGGTTCAGAAAGCAGCAATTCAAGGGCTGGAAAGACCTTGTCATAAAAATATTGACAAGGGCTCCCCATATAGGGTTGGGGAAGAGGAAAAGGGGACAGAAAGACTCCCTGTAGCCCAAAGAGTAGATAAAATAGGATTAGAATGGAAAACGAGGATGGCAATCTATATGATAGTGAGATATAGCATCAGCTAGAGGGACAGGGTATGACCGTTCCTTGGGACATTGAGTGCTCCTGGGGACCTGCCTGGCACTGCCCCTCGGTGAGCTGCGTCTCTGTAAGCCAGCTTCTTGGCTTCAGCCAGGACATCAAGTGTCTGCAAATACGCTGGGCTGCCTAGATAATAAGCTGTGGTTAGGAGTCATGCTGCGTCTTGGATGCAGCTTCAGAGGAGCTGCTGGTGGGGGAAGGTGGGGCTGCAAAGATGCCCCATCTCTCTCCCTCTGCAAGCTTCTCAAAGACATCCTGAGAAGCCAATGAAGACGTTCTCATAGGGCAGAGACAGCCTGGCCTCTCTTTGTGCTGGCTGGAAGTTCTCTCTTGTGCATCTGTCTGTACCAGTGCCCCCCACCACAAGGGGAGGCAAATCTTGGTGATTACAAGATTGTCACAGCCACGTCTGCTTGTGTAAGAGCTCCTGTAGGGTTGAGGAAAAGCACACAGGTCTCAGAACTGCCACCTTCCCTTTCCCCTTTTATATTCCCATCTGCAGTCCCTCCTCCGGCAAGGGGGACTACAAAGGAAGGGTCTCCTAAACATGACCACAGGCAGAAAGAGAAGATTTAGAATAGAGTTGGGCCTCTCTCAGAGTGTCCTGATGGCAGCCATGGTTGATGAGAACCAAAGAAACTGCTCCTGCTGCTCCAGGACTGACTGCAGGAGCAGTGCTCCAAGGGGCAGCAAAGCCAAGCCCAGGAGGAGCAGGAGGCCAGGCTTCCCTTGGCACCAGCAGCAGGCTGGGACTCAGGCTTGCAGACAAGAGTAGCCCAGAGCTAGTCCCACTGGGCTGCTAGCACAGAGCACCCAGGCTGGGTGCTCCATGCACTGTTGGCATGTCTTTGGGAACACAGGGATAGGTTACAGATGGGTTAGCTAGTGTTGGGCAGCTTCTGCAGGTCAGGTCTGATGGCTTTCTCCCTTTCAGGCGTTCCTGGTGCCCACCCCACACAAGCATGAGCTGCAGATTGACGAGGGACCTGCCCAGCAGTACCGCCACTTTGCAGAATACTTCTATCGCACTGTTTTCCCAGAGTTTGTGAGTGTTCCTTCCATGTAGATCTCCTTCAGGGTCACAGCCAAGCATTGCTCTCTCACCTTCCACCAGGGTACAGCAGGGGCTGGCTCTAGGGCAGGGCAGCCAAGAGCTGAGAGGGACCCCAGAGCAGGCAGTGTCCTCACCAACAGGCACAGTCCCCTGGGGCCTGAACATGAAGGGGCAGGTAACAGGATCCATCAGCAGTCCCAGACACGTGAGTTAAAAACCTACTCCAAGGTCCATCCAGGAAACAAAAGGAGACAGAGACACAACTAAGTCCATGCAGAGCTGGGGGCAAGAAGCAACGTCCATCTGAGGGGTCCATCTAGGAGCTGAGCTACCTACAGCAGAGGTCCAAGGTCCACCCAGGAGACACAGGCAGAAACCAGCTCACCCACAGCAATGCTCAAGTAGCAGCTGAAGGCCCTTAAATGGGCTGTGGGCAGGGGTGTGGGTGGAGGCTCCAGGTGAGGGTGGTCTGGGCCATTAAAGACTATTTATGCTTCAGGGCCCTCACACGTTCATGGCCAGCCATGCAGGCAGGGCTGCAGCAGAGCACAGGATGGTGGGAAACCAGGCATACTGTTTATTTGACTCATACAAGGTGTTTACCACCAAGCCTCAGTCCAACCTACCTACACCTTCTGGGCATCTGTACTCACCTTTGGGAGCCCAAGACCACCCCATCTGTCTCCTTCCACCACCCCTGCTTGGTTCTCCAGAACTCCCTCTTGGGTGGTGGCTGCCACCGTGAATGCAGTCAGGGAGGTTTTCCAAGCAGTGAAGAGTGTGGCAGGGGGGCCTGAACCCCACACCTGGATGCCAGCATCCCCAGGGAGCACCAGCATGGGGAGGGAGGGTAGCTACATGGGATAACCACACAGACCCTGGGCTAAGGGCCTCCGTCAAACCAGGACACTATGACCTGCATGGGACAATCACTGCAGCACTCCCCTTGGCCCATGGGACCTTGCATGTGAGGGTCCTACACGATCGTTTGCATGGAGCACAAGTTTTGAATTGTGGCATGCATGACTGCTTTGGTTGGCATCCTATGTGCCTTCAGGGAAGGATGCCTCAGATGCTCCCCACTCCACACAAGCCCTCCCCCTCCCCCTCGCCTTTTCGCCTGTGTAAGACAGTGTCCCATGCAAGCAGCTGGGCCTGTCTGGGGGGCTCACATGGAGATTTGGGTTCTCTTGCCCCACAGAAGCAACGGCTGGACAGGCTGGTCTGCCAGCCCCTCTGCAGCCTCTCAGACATGCTGGTGGGGCCACAACAGCTGGTCAAGAAGCGCCTGGACAAGCTGCTGGACTAT